AACAAAACATAAATATTTAACATACATTACATTGAATGTGAAACAATAAAGCACAGCAATGCATTTGCAAAATATTTTACATGTAATAATTTGTATCCCTATCACTGACATTAAAAACCGCCCAGGCAAAAACCATAGATGGTTAACTATGGAAAACCTGTGTCCGTCGCTATGTAAATAATGTCTCAAAGGAGAATGCCGGACGTGCATTCGGTGCAATAGTTAAAAATGCACGAACATCCTATAATATTTGCATGTATGAAAAAATAAAAATTAAAATACATTTCAACAGTTTTGTTATTTCCATTACCAGTATATTTATACAAATATATATAAAGCAAAAAAAAAAAATGTGTGTGTATTGAAGAGCACTGGCTTAGAATGATATGAACATATTACTGAATACTCATTTCTCATTGGCTTTCCTTTGGCCACGCCCACATATACAACCAAAACCATTAATATACATTCTTCGCATACAATGTATTCCCGCTATACTGCGAAACACAGGAAAAAAATATTATCTGCACCAGGATTGCCTACAACTCTCTGAATTGGATGGCATAGATCTTTAATATGTACATTGATATTAATGATAAAGTAATTAAAAATATAACAGTGGGAAAAATTGGCATACTGATATTTTTCATTTTCCAATCAAAAATGATCTAAAATATTCTGTATTTTTGCTTCTCATCATATGATGAGTCAGATATACAGCACAAACAATATCCAGTTATAACCTTGAATATAAACATTATATTGAGCTATCTTTGACTTTTGTTTTCCTTTGAACATTCAGATACATGTGAGAAAAAATAAAAAAAGAAATACAGATGACAAGTATAAATTTCACATTTCTGCTTATGAAATGGAGGTCCCATTTCACTTTAAAATATAATACTGGTACAATATTTATTCTTTATGGTGCATGTACATATATAAATAAACTTTGCAGTTTAAATTGAATTAAAAATGTGGAAAAAATTACATAAAAGGCTATTTGATTTGCGCTTATTATACACAGGCTAATAACATCTTCAACTTGTAATGCAAAATGATGCATTTTACATATTCACAAACACAAAATATGGTGAAAAATCTATTAGAATAGATGCGGGGATGCAGTTTGCAAAATGCATGAGATCATGTACGAGTCCAGCTTCACCCCGTGAGCCTGTCTGTGCTTGATTAGTTTAGACTATGTTTTTATGTCTGTGGTAAATGTTAGTGTGTTTGCATATGTGTCCAGCTTCACACATTTTCATGTGTGTGCTCGACTTCACACGCCTTGAAAAATATGTAATAGGTTGTGGTAGATGCTTGTGTGTTTGCATATGTGTCCAGCTTCACACATTTTCATGTATGTGCTCGACTTCACACGCCTTGGAAAATATGTAATAGGTTGTGGCAGATGCATGTGTATTTGTGTATGTGTCCAGCTTCACACATTTTCATGTATGTGCTCGACTTCACACACCTTGGAAAATATGTAATAGGTTATGGTAGATGCATGTTTGCATATGTATCCAGCTTCACGTATTTTCATGTGTTTGCTCGATTTACACGTCATAAATGTAAAATATGTAACCAAGATGGTGTAAAACGTTTACAAGTGTATGATGCACAAAGAGAAAAAAAGTTCTGTGTGTTTTGTTCTGCAAATAAATAAATTACAATTATGTCCTGTTGAGAAACTGACAATCAAAATAAGTAACATATTCATTTTACATTACTGTACTGAAAATCACACATCCAGTTTAAATTACTGTACTGAAAATTGAATTCGTGCAAAAACTCTGAATGAATAACATTTAAAACCATGAATGCTTGCATGTTCATCTATAAATCTCCAAGATGTTTCCTAGTTAGTTTGTAGCGCCGCATCGGGCGGTCTTATAACACATTTCATAATGTCAGTTTGCATGAATAAATAAATTTATCCTTGTACCTCATATCTTGAAAATAGATGCCGAAATTCTAGTCTACAGTTTATTTACACAGCACATCACAAATAGAAACATTCAGGAAAAATAATTCACTAAAAATAAAATCCAAGTTAAATAATCACATGTACATATAAATCCAAGAAATATTAGGTAATATTCCAAGTAAGTAAGTAACTTTATCTATCTCTAACAGTTCTATCTACTAGGTCTTCTATATTTCCATCTTCCTATCTTATTCTAAAATTCTGCCGCACTATATATATACTCAAGATCCGCTCCTGACGAGCACATTATAAGATCCTTAAGATCAGGAATCGATACACAGGTCATTACAATCAGCAGGGGGTTATGTAAGAGGGGGCGATTAATATACAGATAAGATGATAATGTGTGAACAATTAAGTATTGAAGAGTTATATTACAGATAAGATATTCTAAATCGCTACAAGTTTACAAATTCTTGATCATATCATTGATAACAGTACATTTTCTTGATCATGACATCTGTATTGGATTCCCCTCTCTGACATCTTTTCTTGTTCACCAATTAGTTTAACAGTCATCTGGGTACTCAGGTATTGTACAAGTCCTAATAATAATAATTTTCAAAATTATAAAGAAAACAATATAATTTTTAAATAGGTTTTCATTACTACTATTGAAATTAAAGCACAAGCTTTTGAAGACATACTTAAGTAACTTAAAACATCTATAACTAAACATAATGGAAATTTAGACAAAGCGACTCAATGTCAAACATATGATAGTGATACATCTGTAATATCCATGAAACTTACTGAGATACTTAAAATGTTTATGGTGTGCTTTCACTAAGCTTAGCAGTATATAAACATCTCTTGATTAAATGTTGAAGTCCAATCCTCACCTGACTTGCACATTCATATGGATTGGTTCTATGTTGATAATCTCTTTCAATAATCTTCATCACATCTGAAAGTCATCCATCTTCAAAATTAAATCTGATGCTCACCTCTCAAGTGTATATAGACTCCCTGTACAAATGCATGGAAAATAAGATTTTGAATAAAAAATGAATTATCTCTTCACCATACCTGGCCTCTTTAAAAAATGTGAGGAAATAATTTAAATACTTTTCTTTAGATAAAATCATGTAGTGAGTATCCAACAATGTTGAAAAAAAAGTTATCTCTAGAATTTTACATTTATATTGAATGAAAAATGCATTGTTCCCTCTACTTTAAATAATCAAAAGACATTAGGCCATATAAAATTAATCTTTTAGATTCTCATCCCCGCCCGCCCCTCTCAAAATGTCCCGCCCCAATGTTTTTTATCTTGAGTTTGGGGTATTTTCATGTATTTTTATTCAGTAAGAATTTGGGTCAAAGTTTAAGTTATCTCCCGTCTGTATTAAAAGTCGTGTGTCGCTATTTATAGCAAAAACGCCATGTGAAGAATGGAGGAAAATCAGCAATAAAAGCAGTTTAAATGTGTAAGTAAAAGATAATTTGTCAGTATAGAGAAGGCAGAGAAGAAAAAATAGCATAAACACATATAGATACCATCAGTTTATTGGTATCCCCAGCTCATTTTGTTCAGTGTGTGCCGTATAATGTGTATTTGATAATTTGTTAATTAACAATAAATATTTAACTTTTAAAGAAATTTTTTTTTTTAAATATTTAAAAGAATATGATAAGAATTAAATCTATTCATATTTGCATTAAGGTAATGAAAAAAAGTGTGTACGGGGCGCCCATTGTTTTGTTGATACTTAGGCCTATATATAAATTAACAATTATTATAAAAAAATAAAATCCGCCCACCCGCCCCAATTTTTTTGCAAATTAGGATGAGAATCTAAAGATTAATTTTACCTGGCCTTACCTAAAATGGAAATAAGGTACAACTGTGACTGGTGTCTCAGGCACAACCAATAAACACAAGACCTTTCCATCCTTAGCAGCATGCATTAGCTCCACATTCCTTGCTTCTACAAAAATATACAATGAAATTTTTTTTAAAAATGAGAGCAAGCTTTATATTGAATGAAAAATGCATTGTTCCCTCTACTTAAAAAAACTCAAAAGACATTACCTAAAATGGAAATAAGGTACAACTGTGACTGGTGTCTCAGGAACAACCAATAAACACAAGACCTTTCCATCCTTAGCAGCATGCATTAGCTCCGCATTCCTTGCTTCTACAAAAAATATACAATGAATTTTTTTTTAAAAATGAGAGCGAAGAGTGTTACATGTACTTGGGGGAACAGAGGAAGGAATTTTGAAGTCAGATTATCATTAGTTATATTTCTGCCAGTGTTGGCAGGGGCGTAGTATCCGGGGGGCCAGGGGGGCCGGCCCCCCCCCCCCCACTTTTTTCCAAACCTTTTTACACTATAGGAAATGTTAAATTTAGAAATGTACCGAAAATGTAGTATAAGAATTGGTACTATAAAAGTAGTTGTCACTGAGAAAAAGTTTACCTACCCCCCCCCCCCCCGCCCACCACCACCACCAACATGAGATAGGATTTTAGACTTTGGGCAACTTTAACCTTTTTTTTTTTGGCTTGTCAACTTTTTCAGGTAAGTAAAAAAAGAATTTTTCTATGCCTGCCCCCCCCCCCCCCCCACTTTCAAAAACGATGCTTCGCCACTGGTTGGGACGGGTAAATTTCCATAATAAAATGAAACGAATTATGCGCAACAAATAAGACACATGTATTACCTTGCAGTCACCGGCCCACATAATGTATACAACTGACATCATCCCAAATCCCTTTCTTTGTTGTTTACTTGGCGGAATTTTCTTTGCCTTCTAGGCTGGTTCCCTACTCTGGTTCCCATACATTGCCGTGAATAAGTCCTACGTTTATTGGTTTTGTTTACAAGCTTCAACATCAATATAATCTCCAGAACATTTACAGCCTGTATTGTAAACTACACTAAAAACATACTTTACACACAATTTTCAGCTCAGTATTATGTTATCCTCTTCATTCAAGTAATATGTAAACTCTTCTCGAATGTAAAACGAACGATCTACTCTTAACAGTAACCCAATATATGGCACTGTGTATTCGGTTGAATAGCCAATCATTTCAAATCAAGTTGAGCGGGTCTGCATCGTTATTTTGACGAAGTTTGAAACCAGTGGTAATTTTTTGGCACTTCATCTAGATTTAAGAAGATTCTTGCCTTGACAACTGCTCGAACTCCCGGGTTGGCATGCTCTGAAGGTTTGTTTACGATTTCCAGCCGTTTTCACTTTCACTTTCAGATCAGTACATTGTGCATGACTGAAACTAATCAAAGTCACGGAAAACGACGCTTTGTATGTTTTTTTTTCTGCTAGGATATTAGATAAGTACTTTTGATAATTTGGGGATTAAATGTTTATGTGCGTCACTTTATCCTGTAAAGGTGTATGAATCATAGGGGCTTATCTTCCGGATTGATAAATGTAAAATAATTTTAAAAATTTGTATCTACATTAACCATGTTAACTACACTCTAAAAGTTGCTTTAATAAAGATTCTGATCAGGCAAGAAAAATAATGTTTTAAGAAAAATACTACACCTATATACATAAACTCTCAACTTTGAGAGTTTATTTATTTTTATTTATATCATTTTGTATTTTAAACTGTGTCCATTTTCTTAAAACACAGGTATAGTGAATTCAGTATGCAGATTGTTGAAGGGAAAACATCAAGACGGGGCGAGGAAGACAACAAAACATGATTACCCAGATTGAGGATCCCAGTGTTCTTTGGTACAAGCACATTTTAATAATAAAGGAGATGGGTGAACATAACGAGAGATAAGCCCATAGTGCGACAAACATGAAGGTGAAAAATTAAATCTCAATTTTATCAAAAGCAATACATTAGCATTAATACTTTATGTAAAATCTTCATGCACTAATCTCACGAAGATTGAAGTTATTTGCCTATGAAATATTATACATACACGAAAAAGGACAAAACGAGTCATTTTTTCACACTATAACACTATTTTTTGATATGAGTGGGTCTTCTCTCCATTTTTTTGAAAGTTAATCCTCAAAGAATGCATAAAAACATACATATTTTGGTTTCCAAAATTATGGAGCAATGACCCACTTTACCTTAAAAATATAATTTTATGACATAACTTTCGTATCTTTTCAAGAAATACTTGAAGTCCCTTAAGTCAATGGTCATATCACAAACATGACTTAAATACCACGCTTCATCAGGACTTGTGTAGTGTAGTGGTTAGCGTGCTAGTCTCAATAGAGAATGCAACTCAGGATTTTTATTGCCAGGGATCGAACCCAATGGCTACCACATTTTTTTTTATATGAAAGAATAAATTTTAACGAAATTTTTTCCTCAAAACTTTTTGTTTATCATGATTTCATAAAAATCAATTATGGGAACTTTACTCTAAATACTAGATTCACAATTTGAATATGATTTTTATATATCTGAGGCTATTGGGCTTTCTGCACACTAAGTTCACCCATCTCCTTTCATGTAATCTGTTACTTGAACAAACATTTACATTATTTAGTGCTTGACTTGCTCGGGAGTCAATATCGTCATATATTTGTAAAAAAAAAAATGTTTAATTTCCTTTGTATAATAGTCTCAAGCTACTCAGCCTACCATGAGAAAATTAAACGATCTGTCATAAAGAAGAGGCGGGTTCTCAACTTTCATATTATAAATGGCAAGTATTGTTTAGAACTAAATTTAGATCATTCTTGATAAAAAATAACATAAGGGTGTTTGTCAATTCATAGCTATTTTTTGTGATTGCACTGTGTATTAATTTTCAAAATCAATTCATTCTCTGGTGACCAAGTGCAGCAGTTTACTTCAAACTCATATTTAAAAAAAAAATATTGACTATATTTGTCCATATGTACAAAATGTTAATCACGTTATGAATTCTATTTCAGCATGATTGTCATCTTCAATTTGAGGGACTCTCACCTAAAGTCCTTTTACTGTTCCATATCAGGAAAAAGTTCATGAGCTGAAACATGCGATTGGGGAAAAAGGTACATATATCCTAAACCATAACTTCAGTATCATTCTGTATACATGTACAGCTAAACTAAATACCGTATAAGTGGAAATGTTAGCGACACGCAAATTTTACGATTTGTCCTTTAAAACTGGTAATTTATTTTTAGCAAGATGCTATTTTAGCAACTTTAAAATGCACATTTAAGAAACTTATACAAATAAAGTGCAATTAATTTTTAGCAATATTTAATTTTAGCGATCTCAACACCCTCGCTAATAATGCCAAAATTAAATCCTCACTAAAAATTCTACTTATACGGTATGTAGCACTATATTGTTCTTTTTGTAAACTGACAACTGAGAAGTTAGGAAACCTATGATTTCTCAATATTTCAGGGATTTATTCTTTGTTTTTGTGTAGTACCCTTAAAAAAATACATATTTCTAAAATTGTAATTTATAGGCTTCTTGTGATAAGAGATACATGACCTAACCCATTGATTCTTCATATAATATGTCAATAACAAGAGTTCCACTCATCTTATTAAATTAATAAATTTACATTTTTTTGCTTTTGAGGTTAAAGGTCATGTATGAACTGTTTATTTATTAGTAAGGTTGTGCCTTGTTTTTATTTTTATTAATCATGGTATTGTGAATTCTGATAACACAGACGCTGTTGAAAATATTCATACTTATGCATGGCACTGAAAAAAATACTTTTTTTTTCTTTTAGGAAAAGCATTAGGAAAATGCCTGCATGGGGAGAAAAGTTTTGACTCTGAAAAGGGAGGTGTGACAAAAACATTTTGACAGTTGTTGATTTCCACTAAAACCAATATCCACAAGAAAGAGGACATAGTTTTATGTTGATTCACAACTTTAAATTCAAGAATATACAGTTGGTTATATTATAAAACATGTCACATACAAAAAAATGTATTTGTAAAATGTACTCTGTCTTTGATATGTATGTAATTTGCAGGATAGGAGGTCGGCAACATATACTGCCAAGAATCTTGATGCTTTTGATCTTATGTTTGTAAAAAATAATGTTTTGTATTGTAATAAACAAAGTTAAAGTCAGCTTTTTCTTAATATGTATATTAATTATGATGTTTACATTTCTGCAACTTATCAATTTGGAAGAAAAAACTTATTCATAATTTGAATAAGGCTTCATTCACTGGAATGGAAAACAGAAATTATTAACTTTTGTGGTTATTAAAGATGGTATTTAATTAAATTTAAGGTTTGTAATTATCAGATTGTGGTTATTAAAGATGGTATTTAATTAAATTTAAGGTCTGTAATTATCAGATTTAATATATCCTAAATACTGTGTTTAATGGTTGTAAATATTAACTTTACTTTTTTGTAAAGTCAAGACAATGTGGGACATTACATCATATTTAAGTGCATGTAAAGTTAATGTAAAGGTTACCTTTTCCAACTTTGACTTTTTTCAGAAAAGCCAATTAAAGGCATTGTAAATAATAAATTTACATTATCTTTACTTGTTTTGTAATGCCTGGCATTCGAAGTCCGTTACGATGGATTCTGACGAAACCGATATCCAGTTTTAAATGATCACTTATGATCTGGTGAACTTTTGCATTAAGATCCTCGTTTTCCTCTTCTGCAAGATTATGGATTAGAATGTTATCTCTCATAGATCTTCCTCTCAGATCTACAATCTCACTTTCTTGTTGTGTCACTTTCCTGTCTAAATTCACAACAATCGACTTCAACAGATGAAGTTCCTTACGGAGGGTAATATTTTCCTGTTTTAAAGTTTCAATTTCAGACTGGTTGTCTTCATGCTGTTGAGCGATGTATCTAATTCTGTCATCTAATCCATCCTCATTCCACAGATCCTTCTGCATGTTATTCAACGACTCTTGCAGAGTATTAAAAGAGTCCATCTTTTCCGTTATAGCCCGAAGGCTGGTGTCGATAACGGACATGTGGCTTAATGCTCCACTGACCGCTGCGGGTAGAGGCGTTAAACCAGTATTTCGTACCTGTGAGGAGTTCTCACCTTTAAACTTTGAGTCACTCATTATGAGAAAAGTCACTTTTTCACCAAAAAGGTCAACAAATGCAGGAATTGGGTAGCAAATATGACTATTAACGCCAGTGCAACGATTTTAGGGCACAAAAAACGGTTTTACCTACCCAAAATTCGACTAAATTACCCTCCGATCTATAGCACGACCATTACCGTCACAGGTCACGTGTCCCCTCAACATTAAATATTTTGATCACAACGGTGCCTTGATATGAACAAAACGGGGCAAATTATGTTAAAGTGTCCCTCTATAGTGAATATTAATGAACCACTGGCAAAAAAGTCCACAAAAGAGTGTAGATATCTGATTTTCCTTTGAAATTAGTTATATAAATATTGAAGTAGGAATTCAAGTGAACTTTTTGTGAACTAGAAGTAATATGTTTTCATTTCTAACATTTCAAATTAGGGTTTTTTTTTGCAGATTTTGAAACACGATGTGGAACATATCTTTGATATTTTCTAAGACATTTTTATGATAAAGTTGAGTTAATTTTATTTTTGTATTGATTTTCTATATCCCATTGTATTCATCTTCCTTCTTTAACTTAAATAGTAGGGAACTGCTTAATAAAGTCATTGTTATTATGAAACACAACGACGTGTGGTTCAAACGTAAATAAACAGTAAAGTATGGTGATTTAAGTACGACATTTTAAATTTTACTACTGGTTCGGGAAGAATGAATTTGCAATGCATTCTGGAAAAATAATTTTTATTCATTTCTATTCTTTTTAAAGGAATTCATAAAGATAAATCGGACCTATAAGAAAATCCTGGTAATCTATAGTAATTACTACGTCTATCGGCTTGTCTGCCTGTTTTCTGTCAGTCCACATATTTTCCGTATTCTGAATAGATATTTTAATTACCATCCCATCACATTCGAGATGGTGTTTTTATTAGCAGTTATTTAGGTATATTTTATGCCAAATTGAATACGCTTTATTATTCGGTTAAGATATAGGTATATGTTTAATGTCATTTTTATATAAGAGAAGTTTTTCTACTTTATGCAGTGAATCCCCAGGAATTAATTGTGTAACCTTGTTCAGAAGAACCTGAGCGTAATTGATCTATAAAAAAGTAAATCACAATTATGTAAGACAAGTAAGAAAGTGGAACATTACGTTTTTATTATGAAATTAAAAATTAATTTTGGAGCAACATGAGATAGTGGCGCATTGTGTATTACATCTGAACAATACACAGACCAGCTTCACTCATCAAACAGTTAGACTTCCTTTTCAGTGTTTTAATTGTGTTGTTGTTCTAAATAATTACCTTACAACAGGCGGGAATACACAAAATTTGTGAGATTCTTATCTTACTATTCGATACCGTGAAAATTTAAACAAGTGCTTTTTTAAAAAGATGATTATAAAAATTCAAATTATATATGTTTACTCATAAAAAATTAAAAGAAATATGTTCAAGACAATAAAACCCCTTAAATAGATTACAATATATGTTGATGATTGTTAATAAGTATTGAAAAGGCTGCCCAAATTTAACATTTTATGAATTGATTCTATTAACACTTTGGTGGCACTAAACGTATCGTAAATGACACCTTGCCACGTCAACGCCCCTCGTTCCCGTACATATTTTCGCAAGATTTTGAAAGCAAGATTATTGTTCTTTGCATAACATATCAAAAACTTTAAGGAAAATTACCCTTGAAATTGACTTATTTGAGGTTTTTCTGTTAAAAATGCAAAAATGCATCACATTTATGACATCATATTTGCAGAATGGTTATCCTTTCTGCCATATTCTTTCCTGATTTATCAAAATCATGTATTTAACTAATATTGAAGCAAGTTTCAAAACTTTTTGATAACATTACATTTTAGGGCACAATAAAGCTAAAACCAACCCTTCTTCTTTTAAAGATATTAACACAGTGACATTATTTTTGGATCAACCCTCGTATAATTGGAAATCTATCCTAGATATTGATTTTTTTCTCAGTAGATCTAGATATTAAAATTTTAAATTGCTCACAGGTAATTTCATTACTTTAAACTTTGCATATACTCAGTAAATTTTTTATTACAATTTTTGTTAAACCTGATATACATATGTAGTTTTTGAAATATATCAATCTTGCTGAAAGTTATAGTTCTATTGTACGTGATGGCAGAGAGAAAGAAGAGAGACATATCATATTTGTAAATTAGAAGACGAGTTTGCTGAACATTAGAACAAAATTAATCTGTGAATGAACTGGAAGTACTTAGTAGTGAATTAGACGCAGAAACTGAAGACTTAAACAGATCGATAAAACATGAAGCTCTGAACATGAATGACCTCACAAATAATGGCCTTTGTGCTCAGAGTACGGAAAGAAAATATCTGAAATACATGTAAACAATATGCCTGTTGATGACTTTGAATGCATTTTAATAATGATCCTAATTTTGTCGATATCTTTGACACTGAATCAGATAAAAACAGTGAAAATGACAGAGGACAAAGTTTAAAAGTCTTTGAGAGAGTGGGCTGTCACGAACCAAACTCCCAACATGTAATTATTAGAACTTCTGAAAATTTTGCGTAGTTTTCACCCTAGCCTTCCAAACGATCCTCGTACTTTACATAGAATAAATGTTAATTACAACATTTTGGATAAATATGGTGGACAGTATTACTATTTTGGCATGGCATCATCTTTAACCTGTCAAATTCAAAAAATTGTTACTTCACTACCATGATATGGCTGTAAACAATTTTCATTGGTTGGTACATCTTGCAAGTGACCATAGGTTCGGCAGTTTAGACAACATTTCAGAATTTTCATTCGAAAAATATCTCTCAAAATTAAATTAAAGGTAAGTATTAAAGCCAAAGTTTCCTTTAGCCAAAATTGTACGTAGACTGTCAGAGCAGGTAGAATTCAAAAGACTCGGAAAACATTTCGCTATCTGAAAAATTACCATAACAATGCGCCCATACCTGCGAGATTCATAAATGGATCTCAGTATTGTGAGTTGGAGAAAGAATTAAAAGTTCAAGCTCACATTAATACGAAATTGCTTCAAAGCTTGAATGATAAAATTGATGGAAGCAATTGTCATACTAGTGAAGACCCAAAGAGATCAGACCCATTAAAAGTAGATTTCCCACTCAAATCCAAGGGGGACCTTCAAAAGCTAGATGATCTGCTGCTGAGTAGTAAAACCACAAATAAACTTTGTATGTACACGCACTTCTGTTGCAAAAGTCCTGTAATTTTATTACACACACCCTCCTACCCTCACACACACACATTTATCACTTAAAGCTGAAATAGTAATTTGAATGCAATGGTCTTGTAAATATTAATTTTGTATCTGAACCTATATAGTTGAATTTGATGATGATATTATACTCTTTCTTCTTTTTATGAATACAGGTGATGTCTCTTTCTACAACTGGAGGAGAGAACAAGACAAATGTTCGAACACTCCTTGCACACATCTTCTCAACAGACCTTGCAAAGACAATTAATTGAATTTGCAAGGGGGAATTGCATTCTCCACCTTGAAAATAAATGACATTCTGACTGGTGTGTAAAAGCAATTGGGACTTACCAAAAAACAAGCATTTCTTTTTTTACTTTTAATAAACAGATTTATCATTGTTTATTTTACGCCACGGTTCGGAAAAACAGATTGTGTTCAGCATCAACAGACTCAGAATTTTTTTATGTGGCACAAACTTGGTTTAGATTTGCAAGTGAAAGAGATGGGGACGGAAGAAAAGGGGGGGGGGAAAGAAAGAAAAAGGCTATCACTAATGACCAATGTGCGACTAAATGGTGCGGTCCTTCGGATAAGACCGTATAAACCGAGGCCCCGTGTCACAGCAGGTGTGGCACGATAAAGATCCCTCCCTGCTCAAAGGCCGTAAGTGCCGAGCATAGGCCTAAAATTGCAGCCCTTCACCGGCAATTGTGACGTCTCCATATCAGTGAAATATTCTGGAGAGGGACGTTAAACATTATACAATCAATCAATCAATCTTATGTTATAGCGCTTATACTTAGTTTTCCCAATTAGATTTTGATAAATATATGAGCGGGAATGGAATTTAATTCTATTTATCCTTTTGATAAAAAAATCACTACTGTATACAGGGAAATTTTCGCCCCCGTTTAATTTTCGCCCCTTTCGCCATCTTCTTTATTGGGCGAATTTAAAACAGATCGGATTCCAATTACACAGTAGAATTTCTTAAACAGGACCATGGTAGTGCGAATTTAAAACGGGCCAAAAATGTTTGCAAGTGCAGAAGGGCGAAATTTACACGGGGCGAAAATAACCCTGTATACAGTATATTTTCATCAAAAAGTTTGTACACATAGATATCACATAGATGTCTTTTTTCTTCTTTTCAATATACATAAGTGTATTTATAATATTCTATTTTCCCCAATTAATAACGAAAATGAATCTTATATACCCGGTAATAAAATTATTCAAATACCAAAATCCCGCTTTTTTTCTTTTCTTGTAAATAAATAAATGTCAAAGCAAACAGAGTACATTTACACTTGTAATCAGAGCTCGTATCCTTGCTTCCCTGCGCACCGCCAGGTAACTGATATTAAAAAGTAAATAATTAGAGCATGGAGTCCATAAATAACCGGAGTGTTCCTCGGTTATGATATACGTTTAACTATGTTACTGTTAAACAGTTCGCCAATTCAATATGTAAAAGGTCATAAAATGCTAACATCTGCGTGTTTTCGTGAACGAATCACGACTTAGAGGAGAGGATAAATCTCTGACAAGGAACTCATTTTATAAGAAACCTTGGATTTGAGAGGTATCTAATTGATTGTTTATAATGATAGAAGTTTTCAGAATTATATTATTTCTTATATATTATTGAAACAGGGGCTTTCTTGCTATACATATTATAATGAGGCCTGTTTACAACAAATTATATTTTGTAATTTTTTTTTCATTCTGGAAAATAATAGAATATTCAAACCAAACCGTATTC